ACTGATTCTTTTAGTACCCTCCTAGCCTATGCCACAATGATGGACTATGAATTTCACCACTTTGATGTTGAAACTGCCTTCTTGTATGGAAAACTAACAGAAACCATCTTAATGGCCCAGTTTAGTTGATTTCAGTTCCACCAGATGGCGCTCTGCCTTCTGTAAAGCACATGTGCTCCTGGTCATGATATGCCATTTTTAATACTTATTTCAACACAGTTTGGCCTTAAATACCCATTTCTTGGTTTTTCAAGAAGCCACTGGGACCAAAAATATTTTTGGTCGCAGTGGTTCAGCCTACTCCACGCTGACGAGCGCCAAAAAGCGCGAAACGCGTTCGTGGATGGCTTTTCTTGATTTATCAAGAAATTGGGTTGGCCAAATATCAGTGAACAGGCTAAATCAACGTTTAGTTTATTTCTGTTCCACCAGATGGCGCTCTGCCTTCTTTAAAGCACATGTGCTCCTGCTCATGATATGCTATTCTTAATATTGATTTCAACACCTGATATTTTTATATTTTATTTTTTTCTTTCGTTTTTTTCATATATATATATGTCATAATTTGTATATACCAAGATGCAACCCCACCACAATATATGCAATGTATGATCCAAAAAGATTTAATAAAAGTTAGGCCTAGCGAACTGGAGAGAACAGCCATTACCAGGATTTCATTATCCAGGAAGTAAAGGTTATTACCCAGGAACTATAAAACTGAGTTCAAAGGCCTTCTTCTTCCTGGAGGATGGTAATCATGAAAAAGACAATGGAGGTACCATCCCAGCTAACATCCAACCAAAGGTCGCCACATAGACGATATCAACCAATGAGAGCAATAGAGAGTTAACGAGAAAAATCTCGGACTCAAGTTAGTCAGTTGGGAGCTCGCCAACACAAGGAGCAAGACGTGCTTAAGCCCTTCTCACAAAAGGTAAAATATCTTCTTTTCTCCGAGTATGTGAAAGTCAAGTACTCCAATAGATTCAAAACCTTCTCTCCCCTTCGCGAGGTCCTAATTTCAACCCCATCCTGTGTCCTTCTCGTTATTTCCCCTGTGAAAATCCTACCATTTCGACCAAAACGGCTGCGCCATCAACCACCACAAGTCACCAACCCTACAGTAAGTCAACAGGGTCTTACAACAATCAACAATCAAAAAAGGGTTCCAATCCAAACAACTAATCCAAAACGATAATATATTATATAGATATATTCTGTGAGATTGGATATGATGATAACCTAATAATATAAAAAAAGTTGTTGTTGTTAAAAGTGACGACAAAACTTGATTAAAAAATATATATAGCATATTATCTTTTGTATTTATTGTATTTTCTTTTTCTAATATATGTATAATAAATAATACATTTAAAGGAGAAGTCTCTCAATCATCAAAAAACAATAAAAGCTCGAGACGGTTTTGATAAAATAAAACAAACTCATCTCCGGAAACCTTTTCAATTGTTTAATACTGCTTTGTCTCGTTTGGATGGATATCACGCTTTTAAAAAGGTCGTTAAGAGTTGAACAATAATCAACATACTGGGTATCCAAGAATGTTACGTCTTCAAAATCAAACACTATCTACTAGGTTTCAAGCAAATTCGTTTTTCACAATTACCGTAGAACCATCCTATCCTGTAAATCAGGGTAGTATCGTAATTACTTCAAACCTAGTTCAGGGAGTTAGTAAAATTATTTTATCATTTAAATTGTGCTAAACAAGCTTAAAATTGGGATATGAACATTTTAAGACCTTTTAGGAAGTTTTAAGATTGTTAAACAGTTGAATGCACATTTTAATGAAATTATAAAGCTCTGTCGTGTTCAAAGGTTAATTTCAATTAAAAATTTATTATCCATGTACTTTATTATTAATATTTTCTGTGTGTGAGCCAAATAATATTTACAGTAGAGCATCGATTATCCGAATACCGATTATCCGAAATATCAGTTATCCGAAAGCTAACCCGAAACCAAAACCGCTGAAACCGAAAGCTAACATAGCGGGCTTTCCGGCTGGTACCTGGCGGCAGGCTCCTTTCATCCTGCCAACAATGTCTTCTAAACGTAAACGTGTTGTACTCAGTTTCACTGATAAACTTAAAATAGTAAATCAGTTGAAGAATGGTGCTAGTAGATCAAGCTTAGCTCGGAAATATGGATGGAAATGTTACATCAACGGACCTTAAAAAGAATAGTGATGCAATTACAAACTATGCTAGTGCATACACATGGTTGATGCAGTTGTGTAGCCAAGGACAACCAATAAGAGGAACTTTGATTAGTGAAATGGCTCTAGAAATGAACGATAAAATAGGTGTTAATCCTGATTTTGAAGCTACTACCGGCTGGCATATGCGTTTCAAATCTAGACATGGAATTAGGCAATTGGATATTCAGTGTGAAAAACTGTCAGCTAATACTGAAGCAGCTAAACATTTTAAAGAGTCTTTTATAAATATGATTGATAAGGAAGTCTACAATAAAATAAATGTATAGAATGCAGATAAAACTGGTTTTTATTCGAATAAAATGCCAACAAAATCTCTAGTCGCTAAGAATGAAATGTCAGCACCTGGCTATAAGGCAAGCATATCACGTATCACTGCTATGGTATGCGGGAATATTAATGGAACTCGCAGGCTACCTTTGCTAATTATAGGGAGGTTTGCAAATCCGCGGTGCTTTGAAGGAATAAAAAAAATTGCCTGTTTTTGCCTGTTATTTACAAGAAACAAAACAACTCGTGGATGGATACAAACATTTTTATAGAGTGGTATGACACTGTATTTATCCCTGAAGTAAAAAAAAATCATATTGAAACTGGAAAATCTGGAAATGTTCTGTTGTTGATTGATAACGCTCCAAGCCATCCCTTAAACATGTCAATGGAAAGAGAAAATGGGAAATTTTAAGTTGCTTTTTTACCTCCTAACGTAACTTCTCTTCTCCAACCAATGGACCAAGGAGTCATTGAGAGCGTTAAACGAAAGAAAATAATTGCTACGTGCGGTTCTGATGGAGGAAAATCATGGAAAAAGTGCACAGCAACTGTACAAAGAAATATACTTGAAGAAAGATGGGTACATGGCAGCAGATGCTCGGACTACTCTAAAGGACACCACACTAGCAAAATCTTGGAAAAATCTTCTTCTATCAGAATAATCTATCACTGCATCTGAAGAGCTACCAAACAGCCAATTTGTATCAGAGCTGGCTGATCTCATTACAAAATCTTCTGTATTTGAAGATTGTGACCAGAATATATTCAAGATTGGCTGGAGTGAGACGTTGATGACCCTGGCCCTCAATTATTGACAGACGATGAAATAATCGAAAGTGTCGTGTCGACTATCAAGGTTCTAGCGACAACGAGGAAGAGCTTCGGGATGACGACCAGGTTGAAAAAGGACCACCCAATGAGGAAGTTTTTCATGGCTTGAGACAGAAATTAAGTGGCTAGAACAACAATAAGAATGCAATGTACTGTTCCATTGCTTTCTTTAAAGCGTTTGCGAGATTTAGCGGCCAAAAAACGAAAATCAACTCTGAAGCAAAATAATATTATGAACTTTTTTCATGAACTGTAGGTACTGTATACTTTAATGGCCATTTTACACCTTTCAATTCAGTCAGTTCCCTGTAAGAATATTCGTAAGATTTGTGATACACATAATATATACATGTATGTATGTATGTATATTAATATACATGTATATAGATTTTATTTTATAGTAAACGGCTTCAACAATGGGAAATCGCACCTTATCAAAGCCATAGGTAATTGAATATAAATAGCAATAATTAATAAAGCAAAATACAAGTATTCAATAAATTCATGTTTAATATAACTGTTTCTTTTTTTTTCATATTACTACTATGACTTAAGTGTTTTATTTTGAAGGAAGAAATGATCGGTTATCCGAAATATCAATTATCCGAACACTCTTATTCCCAAATTGATTCGGATAATCGATGATCAACTGTAGAATATTCTCCATTTTAAATAAATATAAGGCATTTATCGCATAGCAAATCACAGATTCGGGGCGATTAGAGCGCTTCAATATCTTAAAAGGAAATAGCCAACAAAGACATTCAAGGAAAAATCCCAAAAGGAAATCACTGCTCCAGAACATGATACGATAGATAAAAGATAGAATACAACAGATAAAAAGTTAGAAAGAGAAAGTACAAACAAATTACAAAAATAAATATATCCATTAAAAGGACGAATCTCTAACTTAAAAATATTATATAGAACATGATAAGACATTATAAAATAAGACATATTACAAAATTAAAGGATAAATTTCTTTAAAATATTACTTTGAACAAAACAGAAAATGATGTAAATAGAAAAATCTAAACAAAGAGACATCAAAGGAACAATTTGAGTAAGTATAGGTTAATACAAATGAAATAATATTTAGCACATGTGAATAAAAAATAATGGTCATGTTATGGCAATTAAAACAAAAGAAAGGGCAAATTCACTAGAGTAAAGTATAGATATCAATGAGAAAAACGATTCAACAGACGATTAAACTGATCAAACCTAAATCCTATTCTGATTTTTTATTATTAATCTGTGTGAATATAGATAACAATATATAGATGCACGAGAAAAGAATACATTTAAGCTAGGTTGAACATATTTTAAAGATATAGAGAATACAAGATATAAAATGATGTGATCTATTTGATCGTAACAACTATCATACGTATATCTGTATGAACGTACTCTACACAGTATATTCTGAGAGAGAGATTGAAACTTCTTTATTACATCCTTCATATAAGAAATATATATATATAGAGAGAGAGACTGAATTGAATCAAACAAATTTAAATGTGGTACATCATACTTTAAGAAAGAAATACAATAATTTTGACATGCGGTGAAACTTTAAGTTATTTTATAATTATACGCCGCAGTCCTTTATAATGTATTATAAGTTACTTTAAGTATTATTTACGAACGGAAAAATACGTCCAGGGTAGCTTAGTGGACATGGCATCTGCCCGGTAAGCGGAAGGTTGTGGGTTCGATTCCCGCCCCTGGACACTTTTATTTTTCCGTTCGCCATTACTCTTCATATTTTCACCCTTTCATACTTCATACAAAATAGTTAGAAATAGTAAATATTTCTCTTTGAAATAAATATTGATTTTTCACAGAAAAGAAACTTATGCGGTGAAACTTTAAGTTGTTTTATAATCATACGCCGCAGTCCTTTATAATATAAAAATAAGAGTCGTGAAATCAATAATATTAATATTATATATAAATTACATCAAAAATAAACGCTTCCAATATATATTTAAGAAAATATGAAAATGACAAACCTCTTGCGTCGGTGTCAAAAGTTGAAAGAGAATTTAAAATCAGTTTTCAAAAGCTGAATGGATTAAATCGGCGTCTTTCCAGCAAGTTGGTTGTTCACTAGGAAATATGGAGATCTGTTCTTAACTATTGAATTTCTAGGAAAGTTATGTTTATGTTTTTATCTGATGTATAGCTATGCTCTTTATGAAAATATTTACGTTTCTCCGAGGTGAGATCATCTGTAAATAATGTAACTATATATATTATTGATTTTAATTGAGTTTATTTTATATTTTTTTTGCATATCAATGATTTAATTGTTACAATTTTATATTAATATTTTTTCACATTTAGTTAATAACTATAGTGGGTGTGATAGTTGTTATATTTTTCAGTATGATTAATTGTTAATTACTTTTATTATAATTGTACATATAGTTTGTTACAGGTTTTAAGTTAGTTTTCCCACGTTTAGATAACAGCTAAAGTTGTTGCAAGTTGTTGTATTTGTAAGTATAATCAATACTAGCCGAATGGCCCGGGCAACGCCCGTGTTTTACCCGATTGAATGGTTTTATTCAAATACTATTTGTTACAATTATAAATTGGCGCCTTAAATAAATGCATATATTAGTTAATAACTATAGCCTATGTTTTTTATCTGTCTATGTACTGTTGGCTTCCGTAGGCGTCTCATACTGGGAAAAGGAAGGAGAGGATTCCATTTAGTTATTAACTAATATATGCATTTATTTAAAGAGCGACCCGCTCCAAAACAATAGTTACAAAAACGAAAGAGCGAGTGGGGGAGGCATGATGGGGGGGGGGGGGACAAAGGTGGCGTGACCGTAGCCAACCAATAGTAGGGCGCCATTCCAAACAAATGCAAACGGTGACAGAGACTACTGATGAGGAATGACGCTTGTAACTGTATATAGAATAGGATACATTTTTTCAGATCCATTTTTGTCAGGTATTAATTTTCTCTCCATTGCAGTATCTTTTCTCCTGTCTTTGGCAAATTATTAATATTTTCGCATGATTGAGATTTACTTTTATACCTGTTCTGGAATTCAGTTTTGTAGTTGCAGGGGGGTCGTGGAAGGATGGTCTAAACCGTTGGTTTTGGATCGCTACGACCCGGGTTCGATTCCCGCATTGGGCACTTTTTTCGGATTAAAAATAAATTGCTCCAATGGCCTCCGATTCTTGCAAAAATCCAACCCCACCAGCGAGTAAAAGTAACTTAACGGAGATTTGGCACATTTATAAGTGCAAAGTACGAACTGCTTTTCAAATGTGTGGACATGTTGTTCACTTACAGTAAAAGCAGTCGTGAACTTCTACCCACCAGGCTTATCATGGCCTGTACCACGTGTACTAGGGATAAGCAAAAAAAAATGTTTTGTAGTTTTGATTTGTTTGGTTCTTTTTTACCTTTTTAGCGGCTTCTGTATCAACCTCGGAGAGGCCCCGGAAGAACTCATTCTCCGATAGCTAGGAGGGCTTATATGACTCGCCGCTGCAACAACACCCCTAATTCTATTTTTTCTGTTTCTACTGAATATATAATCGGGGGCCTGAATATAGTCTGTCCTAACTGCTCAGCCCTGCATTTCCCTGGGGAGACTGTTGGTAGCTCCTGCTGCCCTTCAGGGAAAGTTTCTCTTCCTGATCTTCCTCCCTATCCATATGAAATCCAGGAGTTAATGACTGCCTAATTTTCAGTCTATTTACTTTGTAAATGTAGTGAAGAATAGGCTCTTGTAAATGAATCGAACAGATTGACAACTCTGCATGGTTTCAGATCATTATAATTATGTATATGCACGGAACCTTTTATATTTATAATTGTTTTGAAAATAGAGAAATCCATAAATAAATCTTTAAATAAAAAGGCTCTTGTAAATTGGATCAAAATATTTTTTTTATTTTACTAATATTTCAGTTGGCTAAACGCCAACCTTTATCAAGGTGTTATAACATATTTAATGTGTGTTAACAACCTTTGTTGTAGTATTTTGATCCAATATATGCCTTTTTAATTAAAGATTTATAATTGTGTGTAATTCTGCTGTTCTCAAAGCTTATGTCTATAGTTAATCTAAAATACCCATTTCAAGAGTCTAACATCAGTATCACTATAAAAGGAATTTCAAAAAATGAAATATAACAGTGGTATGTTAGATTAAACTGGCGAAATCGCTGGGAGGGTTCACCACTGATGAGTTAGGCCCTCCCATTAATTTTTCCATTGCAGTAAGGACAGTAGAATTGTTTAATTATTAAAAGAATTATACGCGTCTATAATTGTTTCGAATATTCATAACAAATGGCGCGCTAATGCATCATAATACATACCTTCCACCTATGTTTTCAGGCAGAATTAATGGCGCACTAGAGCTCGGTTTAGGGCTTTGTGCATTGGAATAATGTGTTTGGTGGGCTTAGCTTGACTACCTTCGGTGTCTACTATTACCTGTCGCAGGTTCTCAGAGTTTTGATGATTTGCGAACTGTCGATGATATTGTTTGCTCCACGTCTAAAGATACTGACCAGAGCCATGGATTTATGGCTGATGATTTTGAGTGGTATGGATGCTTGTTTGAGGTGGCTTTGTTCGAAATGCCTTATCACCTGCGCTAGCTCTTCTCAGAAATTCTCATTTTCAATATTCCAATCGACCCTGGATCATTGTTGACCAAATACAAGGGGTATCATAGTGGAGACCTTTCTCGTGGAAGACGCTTGAATTAAGTTTTATTGGCGGGATACACTAATGGCACCGAACGATCCTATTCTGCAATAAGTATTGATATCGTTCTCGTAATGAAGACCCAAATACAATCTATATAGAAGACCAGGACACTGTGAGATCATATTTTCTAATCGCGTCTATTTCGTCTATAGTTCGCCGGATAAATCTTTATAACGAACATTTTTTCGGCTGCATTTACCAAGCTATATTGTTTCTTTGCGTTTTTCTTAAGCGATTACGTTCTGTTTTATAAACTGTATCATATAATATATCATCTAATATATCCCAAGTTTGTTGTTTATAGCTTAATAATGTGAACTTATGTAAATGTATAGGTTTATATATTCAATTGCCCCCTATCGTTAAAATTTGTAACAAATAAATTTATTGGCAATGTGTTTCTTTTCAATAATATCATCAAATTAAGGTCTGTAGAGATAATATTTAATGATATCATTGAAAAGAAACACATTGCCAATGAATATATTTGTTACAGTTTTGTAGTTGTCAATAGGTTCAATGGCAATTTTCATACTATACATGTATCATTAACTAAATTTTACTTATAGCGCAATCTATATGTAGAAGATAAAAACATCAATTCTAATTTACATTTTTAAATCATATATGAATTTTAACACTTATTTGACTGATAATGATGATGTATTAGTGAGGAATTTCTCAATAGTGGTGAATATTTCCAGCGATTTCACCAATTCAATCCACCAGCTTTCTATAAATATTGTATGTTGATTATGCTTATTGTATCCACTTCAAAGTTTACTCTTGGTGATGGTGTTTAACGAAACAACGAAAATGTTTATATAATTGTTGAAATTTCACACCTCCAAATGTAGAATATACAAGCAGAATCAATGTATAGTATTTATATCAATCTGTTGGATTAAATTGACGAATAGGTTCACCATGATGAGCGGTGGCTTCGCAATTCTTTCTCATCATTAGTTTAATAATTGTAGAAATTGGTATATAATTTATAAAAAGCAATAGTTTTAAATAGTTCCACTATCTAATTTATTATTAATGGAGTCGTTGACTATTGAATATATTTTTATTAGGACTTCTTGGTTTGATAGAAGCAGTATGAAGGATGGAGGTCCATTAAAATAATAATTTGACTTTCTTAATTGTCCTGTTTGAAACCCGGGTCCTGGAAACATAAATATATTCCTTATATACTATATATTCCTTTCAGACATGTATTCATTTAGCAATATAGCTGCACATTGATATTCATGCCAATCCTTAGGATACCATTCCAGTTTTTCTTCCAAGCATCTAGAACTTTCACATTATCCATATCTATTTACAATTACCGATTTCTCCGAAAATTAGTGCTTTTGAAAATTTACGTGAGAAATATTTCAGAATTGAAACAATAAATTAGTAGGTATATCTAGTTTAGCTTCAGTATATATAAGTATATTTGTTTATTACATTTACTAGCTAATTTCTAATAAGAAACCTTTTCACGCAATTCAACATTATATATATATTTTTTAACATATTTGCCTATATGACCATTTATAAATTAAGACCGATATATTAACGTAATTTTAACACATTAAATCTCGAATTTTATTTCAACGAGCCAAATGTTAAGTGTCAGTCAAATTCCAAATTTTTGAAATGTTATAGAATAAAATGATACCCGAGAAAGAGTCAAAGACCAGTTTATGATGAAGAGTACATTATGAAAAACGTTCATCTATAGAAATTGGTTATAATTAGGCATTAGAGGTAAATTTTCTCTATCTGTTAGAATATTTTCCTTTTAAGGGAATGGCATATTGAAATAAGGTTTATGATGCAATTTGCATAAATCCTAATGATATTGCCCCAAATTTAGACAAAATGGCTAGTAATAAACTTGTTCGTATTACTTTCCACCGTTTATTGTTATTGTATGGAGAATGAGGAAAATAATTCTTATCATTTTCAATATTTCCCAATAGAGGA